CAGAGATAAAAGAACATAGAGCACAAACTATCAGAGCTAGAAGGAACCTTAGAATGTCTGAATAAGAATATTAGAGCTACAAGAGACCTCAAAATATTGAATGGTGGTCCATAAAGTATTAGAGCTGAAGATGAGATTTTGGATCTCATTATCTAGTCCCCCTAACACATCCTGCATTTCCCCACCTCTATTGCTTTTGCTTATGCAAATTTATTCCCTTTGTCCCAAATTCTCCACCCCCACCACGGCCTGCACAGAACCTTCAAGACCCAGCTCCAATGCTGCCACCTCTCTGAAGCCTACCTGGATTCCTCTAGCTTAAAGTGATCTCTCCCTCATCGGATCATGTAACACTCTGTGCTCCTCTTATAAGCCCACATCATATTATAATCTTTTTTTTTTATTTGTGTCCAAATCTCATCTCCTTCACTAGAATAAAAATTCCTTGATGATGGGGCAATGTTTTATTTATCTTTGAATCCTTCCCTTCTCTGAGCATAGGACACTCATTGCATATAACAAGAGCTTCATAAATGTTTCCTGAATGAATGAAATCACATCCTTTTTTCTTACTTACTGTGCACACAGGAATATAATTAAAACTCTCAGGAAAACACAAGCATTTTTAGAATCACAGAATCTGAAACCTTGATGTTTCTGAGCTCCGTGGCCCTGCCTGTACTACATGGGTGCTTCAGAATAATTTACCATGATACTGTGTATTTAAGAAATGGCTGAATAATGAAGACTGTCACAACTGTGAGCAGACTGGAGAGGGCCAGAAGCTAACGTGCAGTAGGGTAAGCCACAAAGAGTTAAAATGAAGGGGTTTAATGCCTTCTCTAGACCATCCCCCCTTTAGCTAATCTGTCATGTAATGAAGAAAAGCTCCCAGCACAGGACAGCTAGCTGCCGGCTCACTTACAGCAAACTGATTAAGAATGTTCAACCGACGGCAGACTGTAGACCTTCCCTGGTGAAAATAAATAGACTGTATGCAAATGTGTTTGTCACTTTGACAGCATGTCTCAATTAAGGCATCTCGTTGCTGTGGGTAGGCTCAGGCGCTGCAGCTGTACAGGGGAGCCCACTGCATTACTGATACTTGGGGCTTGACCCTCATCCACATGCATGCATTTTAAAAATTTCTGCCTTCCCCCAGTACACTTGCATAATGCTGGCAGACACTTGAAGCCAGTCACAGACAGGAAAAAAAACACTTTTATCCTCCCTAGTTTACAGACCTGTGAAAGCATAAATAGCTCTTATTTCAACAGTTTGGGGTGGCTTTTTAATTGTTTATTCGACTTCCCCTCCCCCTCCTATCTACTCTATCTATCTATTTATCTATATATCCAGACATCTATCTATCCACACATATAGGGGCACATGCACACCCAGACACATGCTATTTACATTTATGTGCATACAGAAACACACACATTTATTCTCCATTTATTGGAAAAGGGCATTAAAATAGCTCCTTATTCTCATTGAAACAGAAAAACAATTTCTTTACATTTAACATTAGGAAGTTTTTCAACTCCTTTGTCATATTTTCGAAAATGTCATCTGCCCAGGAGGAGTGCATATGTGTACAGAAAGAGGGACAAAGGCTACTGGGGAAAGAGTCCCCCCTCCCCCACACCACCCTTTCCCTGCCTGGGGCTGCCATCCTGGATACACTATGTGGCCAAAGCTTCTATTGTTAGCAATGGTAGTGATAGTTACTCAGGTTTGTTCCAACTTTGAGCTGATGTCCAGAGGGATGGGGTGAGGGGGGAGAGGAAGGATCTTTCAGAGGTAGGAGGGTATGGGGAAGTAGAAACAATGTCATTTTGGAGTGATTTTTAACCAAATCTTTTTTTTTGGTAGTAAATGCATCCCCTTTTTAAGTTTTAAAGAAAAAAAAGTAAAAACAAAAAAACCCCTAAAGATAAGGCATGTGACTATTTCAAATGAAGCATTAGATGAATAAGAAAAATCTATCTCCAAACTTGCCACTTGAACTAATGACCTATGGCAAATGAAAGATTTTTTTTACTGTAAGATTCTTAAGTGTTTAAAAGCTGAAATAAAACTGAAATGATAATATCTTCAAGGCTACTTCATTAAATGAAATAATTTAGTGAAACTGCCTTCAAAATTATTTCTGTGTGGTACTATAATAGAAGAAGCAATGGATTTGGAATCAGACAACTTGAAATCAAATTCCAGCTCTAACACAGTCTATATTTAGGTGTCATTTAACTCATTTGAGCCTCAGTTTTCTCATCTGTAAAATGGTGTTGGCCTAGATGATTTCTAAGATCTTTTCCAGCTTTTGATCTTAGGGTTAATTTGTGATTATGATTTAGCAAGCTTGGCTTTAAGATCATTTTGGTTTTATTTTGCCCTTAAGAACATTGCATTGAGGGAACCCCCCCCCCAAGAAAACCTTGCATATATGCTTGCTTATTCCATTTAACTTTGGTGTTTTGTTCTCTCAAAGTAGGTCCTTCAGTGAAAGTATGTGTATGGAGATGATTGCTGGAGATAAAATGAACAATTTTGATTATATAAAATTGAAAAGTTTTTGCACAAAATCAATGAAGTTAGAATCAGAATGAAAATAGTTAACTGGGAAAAAATTTTTTGCAGCAAATTTGCTGGATAAAGATCTGTTATCAAGGATATGTAGAGAATAGATACAGATATATGAGAACAAGAGCCATTCCGTAATAGATAACTGGTCAGAGGAAATGAATAGAGTTCAAAAGAAGAAAGGCAGTAGCCATATGAAAAAATGCTCCAAATATTTGATAGTAACAGAAATGCAAATCAAAACAACTCTGAGCTCCCCATTACTCCAATCAGACTGACAAAGATGACAAAAAAAAGAAAAGAAAAGAAAAGAAAAGAGAAAGGACAATTGCAAAGAGGGACTGTAAGAAAGTCACACTAATACATTGCTGGTGGAGCAGTGAATTGGTCCAATCATTTCATTCTGACAAACAATTTGGAACTATACTCAAAAAAATCACTCCTTTGACCCAGAAAAACCACTACTAGGCATACAGCCCAAACAGATTAAAGAAAGAGAGAAAAGACAATTATAAACAAAAAAGGGGTACCCATCAATTGGGTAGTGGTTGAACAAATTATGATACAGGGATGTAATAGAATATTATTGTGCCATAAGAAATGATGAAAGAGACAGGTACAGAAATAGCAGGGAGAACTTGTATGAGCTGATGTAGAGTGAAATGAGTAGAACTAGTAGAATAATTTTTAAAACAACTTAGAAAGACTTAATGATTCTGATGAATGCAATGATCAATCATGACTCCAGAGGTGTGATGATGACTCAGTCATGCATTTCACCCCTCGATAGAGAGGTACCAGAATGGAGGAACAGAATAAGCTACATTTTCAGACATGGCCAGTATATGGATTTGTTATTCTTGATTATACTTATCTGTCATTTGTGAGAATTATAGCGCAGGGGTAGGGGAGGGTGTAGGAGGTAGTTACAGTGGTGCAAAGAAAAAGAAAGAACATCAATGAAACATTTTAAAAAAATATTCAGAAGAAAACAGAAAGAAGTTCAGAAGGGGACAAAGACAAGGACAGTAGTTTTGGTATTCCTGTATTAAATTTCACATACATTACAAAAAGCCTCTGAGTTGCACATAATAGAGACTCAAGATTTCACATACTCTTTTTGTATTCTTTATACAGGGAAATGTTCATTTTGTTGATGTTCGTCAAAATCCTAATGAAAAAATAAACTTAGAATGTGTATATGTGTGAGGGGGACAGTTTATTCGAGTAAGAGTCATTTTTATGCACATTTAAGAAACTGCATTGCTGAGGGAAACAAGCTAATGCTGGGTTAGGTGGAAGGGGAGAGGGGTGAATACTAAAACTGCTGGAATTCACTCCGAGGTCTCTTTGATGACCATCTCCAGCCTATCTCTGGCAGTAGACCAGAGTATCACGGTTTGTTTCGATGTGGCTGGTTATTTGTTCAGCAAATTTAGTATGTACCTATTCTGCTAGGCAATGGGTGGTGGTGGCTGGGTAGTCAGGGGAGGTATATACACAGGTTAGTGAGGTCCCAGTTCCTATTTCATGGAGCTCAGTCTAACAGAGGACAAGAAACCCATATATAAATATTGGTAACATATTAGTAACATTCTTCTGACACAGTGTTGGTTGTAGCCACATGCTGTTGGGTTTGTGTCTTACTCTATTCCCTATTCTCTTTGTCAATAGTACCCTTAGAAGACTTTGGTTTATCAACACTCCACTTTATCAAAGGAATCGTTTTACATTTGCTCTGAAAAGAATTTCAGAGACAAAATATCTAATTCAATCAAAGGAACTAATGAAGAACAGACAAGATTACTTCTTTGCACAAATGTGTGATCATAGTGAGAAACTGACAAAGAGAAGTTAATTTTTTATATCGTGGTACCAGGTTTAACTTTGGAAAAACATTTAACATACAGACAGTTTTCCCAACACTTGTAATAGATGAAAATACTTCTGGATTGCCTGCATCAGAACACAGGTGTTTACCCTGTAGAGAATTACTTCTGATATGGATTTTCTGGGAGTATATTAACAAAGAACAACCAAATTGATTTTCTTAAAGCCAAGGTTTGCTGCCTTTTACTTGGCGATACAGAGAAGGAGCCTGCCATGCTAAAAGGTTCTAATGAGCTGGTTCTCTCTCAGGTAGTGACAGCAGAAGCTGTCGGATTTAATGAGTTCATATAAGAGTCAAAAGAGTTGACTGCCATGGCCATGATGCTTTGCTTCCAAATTCTGGGAATTTCTTTAGCAAGATTTTGAAACAGAAAAATACTTTTGAATATTAGAAGTTGAGAACAGCTTTCACTAGAAAAAACCGTCATAAAAAAATTCTGAAAATCAAGCTGAACTGTAGATAGGCTAGCTAATATTTCTGAATATCCCATTTTGAAAGAATTATAAAGCAAGGGCTCTATGCATACCTGCCCAAAGTGCACGGTGATGGGCCTCCTGTCTTCTCGGACTTTGGAATCCTTTGTTTCAGCCAATGGTGAAGGAGCAGCCTTTGGCAAGGGATCTTCCGTGGCTGGGCTACAGCCATTTTCAGCAATATCCTGTGAGGTAGAAAAAGGTCAGTGATGCTTTGGTATACACTGGACTAAATACATAAAATGCAGGAAGATGGGAGGCTTCATGGTAAGTGGAAAACTACTGGAAATCAGGAAACTTGAGTTTTCTCAGCTCTGCCACTAAGGGGTGTTGGGCAAGTCATTTCTCCTATCTGAGCCTCTATCCATCCATAAAGTGAGGGAGTTGCCCTAGATTAGGGGTGGGGAACCTGCAGCCTTGAGGTCACCTGTGGCCCTCTAGGTCTTCAAGTGTGGCCCTTTAAATCCAGACTTCACAGAACAAAGGGCTGCACTTGAGGGCCTCGAGGCCACAGGTTCTCCACCCCTGCCCTAGATGATCTCTAATGTCCTTTTTAAATTCTGATAATCTGTATTCTAGGATCCCATCAATTCAACTATTCTATGTTGCATATTCTAATATTTGATGTTTGAAGGCTCTTTCCAACTATTTATATCTATTTTATATTATGTTTATTAATGTACATGTATTTTCTCCCTAGCTGGGAGCTGAGTATTGAGCCTTTCTCATAGCAAGTACTCAATAAACATTTACTGAACTGAACTGCAACTTCTCCTTGGGAATAGAAGCTGCTGAATTGAAAACCTAAACTTTATGTACCTCTGCAGCATTTGGTAACAATAGTGAGAGAATGACATATAGCTTTGCAAGGGTGACTGAAGGTTGGCCACTAAAAGACCCAGCTTTGATCATATAACCCCTGACATGGCCCCTTCAGTTTCAGTCTTGGTAAGGTATAATAATGAGACAAGGTTTTTGGACACAAGCTGACCTAAAGTACTTAGGTCAAATAAAACAAAGAGGTGGATGGGCTCTGTCTGCTCCAGAGAACAAGAGACCTTTTTCCAGATCCAGATGGTGACATGCAATGCTTCCCAGGAAGGAATAGAGGACTGAGAACGTGTGTGTATGAATGTGTATGTGTAGTAGTAATGGTAAGCAAAATGGTAAGCAAAAGAAGCAATGTAATTAGTTAAAATGATCTAGAAAAAACAATTTTTGTGAGTGGACCAGGTGAATTTTTTGAATAAAAAAGTAATTAACAGTGTAGGGTACTATATATGGGATAATGTATTCTTGAAAAGAGAAATATATAAGAAGATGACCATAAAAAATGAATCATAAAATTGTAAAACACCAAAAACGGAAGGTGGTGAAGGTAAAGGGAAGGGAATAAGCTACTACAAGTGCCAGGCATTGTGCTAAGCGCTTAAAAAATATTATCTCATTTGATACTCACAACAACTCTGTGAAGTAGGTGCTATTATTATCTTCTTTTACAGTTGAGAAAATTGAGGCAAACTGCCCAGAGTTACATAGCTAGCTGAACTCAGGCATTCCTGATTCTGGGCCTAATACTCTATTCACTCTGCCGCCAGGGACTTTAGAATGCAGAATGTAAGAACACAGAACATGAAACGACAGAGCTGGAAGGGAACATGGAATGTTGGCAATAGAAAGAATGGCCTTTCAGCTCTAACATCCCATAACTAACACCTTATATTTTAAGGTCTTGTTAGGTTTAATGTCCACAGCTTCATAGTTTTCTACGTTCTAAGATTTTTTCCTAGTGATTTCATCAGTAACTTATAGTTTTGGAGAGTTGCCAGGGGCTGACAGGCCTTGATCAGAGGTCGTTCTGACTCCAAGGCTGGGTCTCTCAATATAAGACCTCTTATAGCACTGATAGTCTATGTCCTAATGTCTTCTCCAACTCTAACACTCAATGTTCTAATGTAATATTCTAAGGTTTTTTTTCCAGCTGATATTTTATGTTTTATGTTCTAACAGTGGATGTTCTAAGGTCCCTTCCAGGTCTAATTAAACTCAGCTAAAAATATTTATTAAGTGCCTAATACGTGCCAAGAACAAGCTTGATCTCTGGGGATATGAAGCCAAAACCAAACATTTTCTATTTTATGTTCTAAGGTTATTTGTAATTTCATAGTTCTGCCACATGTTTTCTGTATGAGGTCCTGTGCTAGAATATGTGGGTGACATAAAGACAATGACAGAATCCTTGCCCCCAGTGGAGCTGACAATCTAGTAGAAGTGATAAAAACATAATACAGCTCTCATGCAACACTCTCTCTGTTCTCTCTCATTGGTCTCATTAGTTCCCATGAATTCAACTACAACCTTTGTGCAGATGTCTCCCAAATCTATATCCTCTTAGGAGTTCCAGACCTACATCTCCACTTGCCCACTAGACAAAAACACCAGGATGTTCAACAGATATTTCAAACTCAATGTGTCAAAAGCAGAACTCATTGGCTTTCCCCTAAAACCACTCCTCTGTCTAATATTATTTCTATTGAGGGCAGCACCTTGTCCTAGTCACACAGGTAACCTCAACCTCCTCTCCTTGGTCCTTCACTCTTACTCACTCCACACACAGAATTAATCACCAAGTCTCTTGATCTACCTCCTTAAAATCTCTTTTATCTGCCACCTTCTTCCCACTCATACATATCCAAATCTTAGTTCAGTCAATCAATCATTAAGTGATCACTAGGCGGCAGGCACCATATTAAGCACTAAAGGTAAGAAGAAAGGCAAAAATACTATTCCTGCCCTCAAGGAGTTCACATTCTAATAGGAGAGACAGCATGTAAATAACTATGTAAATACAAGACACACACACACACACACACACACACACACACAGAGCAGATGGGAGGTAATTTCAGAGAGAAGACATTAGCAGGGTTGGGCAGTAGGGGAGAGAGGGAGAATCAAGAGAGGCCTCCTGGAAGTAGAAGGTGCTATCTGACTTGAGTCTTGAAGGAAGCCAGGGAAGTTAATGAGGCAGATGTGAGGAGGGAGAATATTCCAGGCATGCAGCTGGGGTAGAGAAGGTTGAATGTGAGAAACAGAAAGTAAGACAGTGTATCTGGATTGTAGAGTGCATGAGGCATAGGAAAGACTAAGAAGCCTGGAGAAGTAGGAAGGGTCTAGGCTGTGAAAGGCTTTCCATGTCAAACAGAAGCTTTTGTATTTGATCCTAGAAGTAATTGGGAGCCACTGGAGCTCGCTTACACAGTAGGGATTGAGATTATCAGAGCTATACCTTAGAAAAATCACTTTGGCAGCCAAGTGGAGGATGGGGAGAGATGAGAGACAGGAAGACTGGTTAGGAGGTTAATGTAATAGTCCACACGAGAGAGGATGAGGGCAGGTGTAAGGGTGGTGGCTGTGTGTGTGTGTGTGTGTGTGTGTGTGTGTGTGTGTGTGTGTGTGTGTGTTTGTGTGTAGAGAAGGGGACAGATATGAGAGATGCTGTGAAGACAGAAATGACAAGATCTGGCTACAGAATGAACACGGGGTGAAAGGGAGTGTGTGAGCACGGGACACTGGGACAAAGTTAGTGTCCTCAATAGTAAGAGGAAAGACAGCCCTTCTTGCCTGGATTATTGCCTCCTAATTGGTCCAGCTGCCACACAGATATTCCTAAAGCACACATCTGACCATCACTTCCTTCCTCAAGACACTTGAGTGGCTCCTTCTTCTTGTGACAGTTAAGTACAAATTCCTCTGTCATTTAAAGCCCTTTGCCATCTTGCTCAAGCCTATCTTTCCAGGTTGATTTTCCATTACTCCTCATCATTTACTCGATGTTCTGGACAAGTACTGGCCTTCTCACTATTCCCTGTATTAGCATTCCATCTCCCAAACCTGCCACACACAGCATGGGCTGTTCCCTGTATCTATAATTCTCTCTCTCTCTTCTTACCTTTATCTTGTGGAACCCATAACTCCATTCAAAGCTCAGTTAAAGTGCCACCTCCAAAAGACCTTTCCTGATTCCTCCAGTTACTAGTATCTCCCAATCATCTTTTACTTATTTTACATGCATACTATGTTGACTTATCCATGAACATATTGTATATCTGTAGTAGAATAAAATTCCATGAGGACAGGGGCTGTCTCATTTCTGTATTTGTATTCTCAATACTCACTACAGTGGCTGCTACATAGTAGGCACTTAGTTGGGAAGAAGTCCCATACTTGGGGCTTTGCATTACCCACACCTGAGTGCTAGAGCCAGGCTTCAAAGGGAAAATATTTTTGGCTCCAGGTTTGTTATCTACAATGCAAGAGAAAGCTTCATAATCCAGAGCAGTCAGGGAACCCCCTCAGCATCTCTGACCCAGATTTCTCATGGGTGGCTTCATTCCTCTCCCCCTCTCCTCTCGCCTGCATTGAGAAGCCCTTTCTTTTGCTACCCTAACACATCTACAACCAAGGTGCTTGAAGAGAAGAAATGCAAATTAGGAAATGAATATTGATATTCCCCAATTGAGAGCAATGTTGGAATTTCCTTGATTGAGCCAGAACAAGATTTTTAATGCATTTAGAGAAGAGGAACTGACAGCTGTGTGACAAGGCGTGAACACAGTTATTCTATACGGTACATACCTACAGCTTACACACACACACACACACACACACACACACACACACACACACACATGATGTAAACTCTCCCACAGAATCAAAGATCACTCTCTGACCCCAACTCACTTCCAGCATACAGAGACAAATTCAAGGACTGGAAACAAAAATCTTTGATAATGGAAACTGTGAATTTGCTTCCATAGTGCTTCCAAAGGTACCAGGGAAATTCACAGCTTTCTAGGGCTTTCCAGGCAAAAAGTGTTAGCACAGCCAAGCTACATGAACTATGATTTCACATTAATTTTTACAATGGCTTGATTAGCTGTGAAGGCGTTCTATTTTAGCACTATTTTAAAGATGGTATGACTGAGGCACCAAGAAAGAAAGTGGCTTGCCTAATAAGGTCTCACAGCTAGTTAGGGGTGGAACAGAGCCTTGAACCCAGTTCTTCTGACCCCTAATTTCATGCTTTTTTTTTTTTTAGTCACAAGACCAGGTAATGGTGGATCCCAGTGTCACTCAATCATCTTTTATTTATTTTATATGCATACTATATTTACTCAACTGT